TATATATATATATATATATATATATATATATACAACAGCAGCAGTACACACACACACACATATATATATATATATATATTCTGCTGTTGTTGCTGCCGCTGCTGCTGCTAATGCTGCTGTTATTATGATTACTGTTTTTTGAACTGTTTGCATGCAGGTGAATCTTCGCAATTTTTGTTATTACATGGTGGCGCCGTCTTTGGTGTATGAGCCGCACTTCCCTCGAGGAAAGGGCTTCAGGCCTTCTTACTTTATCTGGAAGTTGATATCTTTAGCGAGTGCTATGGTGGGTGTTGCTGCTCTTTGTGTTTACCTTAAAGACATTTCAAAGAGTTATTATGTGCTTAGCTTTAATTTCTTTAAGGGATTTGCTGTAGCAGTTTTGCTGCTTTGTTAGAGCAATATAACGTTGGTGTATCATTATTTTTACCCTATTAGAATATATTATTTTAACCTGTTTAATATTTTAAGTATTATGTTCCTACTATGCCATCTCAGCATTGTATTGGTGCGCATTATTGTGAGTTATTATTAAAAACGTATTTAATTGCATCATTATTATTTGTAGCTTAGTTAATAGCATTATTTTCACCTATTATTGTTTGAGTAAAACCTTTAGAATGCGCTGAAGATGTTGTCTGTCTCAGTAGACGGGCGGTAGAGAGTATTTATCTGCTAAGTTTGTTTGTTTGCGCCTTTGCATATTTGTTGTGTTTGCTGTGTTTGTTGTGTTTGTTGTATTATTGATTGTTTATGCTGATGTTTGTTTGTTAATGCGTCGTTTGGGTGTACAGACAGTGATGTATTTGGCTTGCACTTCGTATTTAATTCCAACGATCAGTCGATCGCCTCAGGTGTCGCTGATGGAGGCAATTTTTAGTTTAATTTTCCCCTTTTTATTCCTCGACTTGCTGATTTTCTTCATTCTTTTTGAATGCATTTGCAATTTACTCGCTGAAGTTACCAACTTTGGGAACCGCGACTTTTATCATGTAAGAGAGGCAGCAGAAAGCAGAAACATTCATGAATTATTTTTCTTTAATGCCGTTCAAATGCAGAAATATGAATTGTCTTCAACTTAGGAGCTGAATTTATTCAAATTTCTATAATGTTCTGTTCCCTTAGTCGCAGGATTCACCAGCGAACATGAACTGCCTATACACCCTGCGGTGTCTGTGCTGTGTATCTGTTTATTGCAGGATTGGTGGAACAGTACCAACTGGGACGAATATTCCCGCAAGTGGAATCGCCCAGTTCACAAATTCTTGCTCAGACATGTCTACATGGAAACCCAGCAAAAATACAGGGTAGGAGCAACCCCCGAACTTTGGCTTGCTGCTAGCTGATGCAGCTGCGCAGCTAGCTAGCTAGCTGCTTAGCTACCTACCTGTACAGGCATCTAGCTAGTTGCGCCGCTAAATAGCTGAGCGAGCAGCCAATTATGGAGCTAGCTGCTATAGATAGCTAACTAGCTAGCTAGCTAGCCAGCTGGCTGTGCAGCTGGCTATGCATAAACGCTAAATCTCATTCAGTTGCAATATATTAAGAAGAATCATCTGCAAGTCGCTTGCAGGGCACAGCAATGAGTTAGGGGTTTCTTTTTTTTCTGTTTTGTTTGGTGTTGCAGTGGAGCCAGCGGAGCGCAGCTCTTGCGACATTCCTCTTTTCTGCTCTTTTGCATGAAATGATAATGGTGGGCTCAGCTTCCAGTTAGGAACATCTACAGCAATTACACAGTTAACAGAAGAGAAATTGTTCCTATTATAAAAAATAAAAACTTACAGCCAATTGGTGTAGGACTGGCCTCACCTCTGTATTGTTTTTGCTTTGCTGTCTAATAACAATAATAATGATAAATAATAATGAATAATAATAGTGGATAATTAATAACGAATAAACTCAGGTAAAGGCATTTGCTTCTCATCAGCCAGAAGCGATGTTTATTGTTAATTATTAGTATAATAATAATAATTATTATTATTATTACTATTATTATTTTATTATGCGGTTCAGGCGGTGTGTCTTCGCTTTGTTCGTTTTTACCTGTTCGCGTTGATGTTGTTGCAAATTCCTCTCGTTGCGTTGGGGCGGTACTACGCGCACAATCGATGTCTCGGCAACGCCATCTTCTGGGCTTGCATGCTGCTAGGTGTGCACATCACGAATCAAGCTTTAGTATCTATTCTTGTAATACTATTATAATTATATATATATAGGTTATATATGTATGTATCTAGATTATTTATATATGTAGATTATATATTGATATGTTGTGTTGGATTGTATTGTGGTATTTTGGATGATCTAATTTGATTTTGTTTTGCATTATGTTCATATTTGAATATATATATATATATAATGATATATAATATATTATTTATATTATACTTCTTGAATAATAGATTGAACTATTGTCGGCGAGTGAAATGAGCAGAGAGTTTGTGCTTTGTGGTTGACAGTCCACAGGAGCTGCGGTGTATGGGCAGCTTTTTTTTTCTATTTTTATTATTTGTTTGTTTATTTGCAGGCGTTCCTCTGCTAGCTGTGGCCTATGGGCGAGAGTTTGCGCGACGCTTCTACACAGACAGCAACGGCTGGCAGTCGGGGGGCCCTGTTGCATTATAGTTGGTGATATATGATAACGACAATATAATATATATTATATATATATATATATATGCAGTAAGAGCTGCATCCCGGGGGGCGTTCATCGGGTTTGTACTTTATTTTCTTGTTTCTGTGTGCTAGTCGGTTTGCTTGCATAGAGCAGCAGCGATACAGCATTCGTTCGTCTCTTGTCTCTTTTTTCTTGATTCTTGAAATGTGCTTGCTTCTATTTGACTTGGCGGCGAGTAACGTGGAATGCCCTTTGGAGGGCAAACGAAGGGCAGCGGGAGCACCGGAGGCTGTTTGTCTCTTTTCAATAATTGTTTTGTTTTTTGTGTGAGGAGAGAAGAAAAACAACAAACTCAGGTGTATGGACGCATACCCGACGGAATTGGGGCCTTTGGGCGTCTTGATGTCCTTTATTTTCTTTGTTTTGCACAATGCAGCATATCACTGCTGGGAGTTTGACTTACACTCTGCATGCCATATTTAAACTGCTTGCAAAGAGCGCTGCTTTTCGTTCAGCCTCAAATACATCAAACGAAAACAATTAAAACAGCAAAACCCTTGCAGGGGATATCACCGGAACGAATTTTTATATTTTTATCCTTACACCTACAGTGCATCGAATGCTTTAGGCTTTAAAGAAGAATGTGCATATAGCGCTGCTTTTCGTTCAGCCTCAAATACACCAAACGAAAACAATTAAAACAGCAAAACCCTTGCAGGGGATATCGCCAGAACGAATTTTTATATTTTTATCCTTACACCTACAGTGCATCGAATGCTTTAGGCTTTAAAGAAGAATGTGCATATAGCTGAAGAACCGCTCTTGCGTAGTCAATTGCAGTGTCCGCAGATACAGCAGAATATGAACAGAGGGAATTTGGTGTGTAGGACAGTCAAAGGCTTTATTTTTATTGAAACATGTTGGTGAAAATGAGAGTAGTGATGCGCAGAGTAGACTAAAAGAAAGCATCGAAACGAAGTGCTTGCTGAGAAGCTGTCTGTACACATTACACATCGACGGTGCTAGCGGCATCGTAGAGAAGGCGGATTCTGCAATTATCTTGTTAAAAAGGCGGTTGAAAAATCAGAAGAAAATATACTGATGGATTTTTATTTTATTTTTTCACCTGATTCCCTCGAGAAACTTCTGTTGCTTTAACAGGAGAGCTCTATGGCGTCGTCGATCAGGGGCAGCGGTCGCTCGCGATCATTCGAAGTCGATGTTGATTTTCACACACACATCTCATTTGTTGATTCTTCAAAGCTTTTCAAGACGAATGCATTTATATAAAGTTTAAATACTTAATTTGTTGCTGCTTCAACCCTGCAAGGGTCTACGACCTCGAGGTTTATACACACTTATTGCTGGTGGTCGTCGTTCAGCGGCTCTCGCTTCCCTAGGGGAGCCTTGAGGATATGGCGTTCGTTGAACTTATTTTTTGTTGAAGAGTTTTGAATGATAAACATTTTTGAAATTCTATAAAGAAGTCGCTGCCTTGATATACTCGACTAGCGATGATCACATACATACATGCACAGGCGCCCTTCGACCCCTTAACGCCGGGTTCCTTTCTCCCTGTGCGTCTTGACTTCCTTTGCTTGGCGTGGATTAACTCCTTTTTGGATTTTCTTTTATTATAATTCTTTAAAACTCCGCTGCAGCATTCATCTCTTACAGCAGCAGCTGCAACAAGAGCTACAACACCACCACTACCAGCCTGCTGGCGAGTGCTGCTGTCGGTTATCTCGCCTCCTAAGGCCAGGACGCAATACAAACTAACGGCTGGTAGTTTGTAAATTATAATTTTTCAATTATAATTCAACTTGCATTGATTAAAGGGCTTAGGTTCAGGTAAGCAGGGTCTTTGCCGCCTCAGAAGCCCTCGCCCTCCTCTGCTTTCTCTTTATATTTCGGTCTCGCCTTAACATTCGCAATGGACTCTAACGAATCTGCAGCACTCCCGGGCGTCTCTCCTTCCTCTCCATCTGCAAAAAACGAAGAAGAAAAAGAAATTAAATATGCGCAAACTCCAACACCTTCTGCTGCTGCTACATCACCTTTAGGCAACCGACGACTTCTACCTGCAGCCTTCGTTGATCAACCGCGAGGCGCTTGGCGCTCTTCGTTGCATATCTCTTCTTCTTCTTCTCCTTCTTCTCTTCCCCCCCCTTCTTCTTCTCTATACACACAGCCGCTCACAGCCACACTGCCCGCCACCTTTGCTGCTGCTTCTGTATTCAACAAAAGCAGCATCAGCTGCAGCAGCACCAGCAGCGGAGTGCGATTTCCTTCGGTCCTTCCGCCTGCTGCTGGTGTCCCCACTCGGCTGTCTGTACAGCCTCCCTCCACTGGATTCCCGCCTCGTCTGGTGAAAGAAGAAGAATATAATTTTAAATCTTCTGCTTTTGCTGCTGGGAGCCCGACATACCCTCTGCCGGTTCTTCTTTGCTCTCCTCTCCGACCCACAGGAAGAAAAGAAGTTCTCACCTCCCCAGCAGCAGCAGCAGCAACAGCAACAGCACCAGCAGCAGCAGGAGGGGCTCCCAGAGTCCAAATCGTCGAGATAGAGGCGAAGCCGCACCAGTACCAGCAGCACCAGCACCAGCAGCAGCAGCAGCAGCAGCAGCAGCAGCAGCTGCCCGGGTATCCGTTTCAAGTTTATGCGGCTCCTTCCTCTTATCCTCGCCCTCTGCCTTTGACTTACCCAGCCTATTCGCCATCCCCTCCGGGTGTATCGACAGTCGCGAGGTTTCGCCTGCCGCCTTCAAATGCGCCGACTGCCTTTGTACTACCTATGAAAGAAATGGAGACCTGCACAAAGCTGCAGAGCAGACATGCATCTCCTTTCCTCACCACTGTAAGCAGTTCTTTCTCTACTCTTCGAAACCCTAAACAATTAGTATTCATTGTATTTTAATTGTGCTTATCATAGCTATGCGGAAAACGACTACCAACTGTTTATTCAACAAACACATATATATATATATATGCATATATATATATAATGTATATAATATATATTATATAGACTGCAGGCAATTAACCATTGATAGTGATTCATTTAAACTCTCAAAAGCAAACTAGAGAGACAAAACTCTAAACAATAAACTTGTCTGTGTCTCTGTCTCTGCCTCTGTTTCGTACTTTCCTCTCTATTTCTGTCTCTTTTTATATTTGAGTTATTTGAATTCCCCATCGACTTCCTCTGCTTCCGTTTGTTTGTTTTTATCCGTTTGTTCGTTTATGCATGCGTTGTACATCAGGGAGCTTCTTTTCTGTATTGTTGATATATGTAGCGTTTGTTTAGCTAGGAGAGAATTAATTTCTCTTCTTTTTTTTCATTTGTTTGTATACGCCGCAGTATGTTCTTGATGGGGCGCGGCCTCCTCATCGTAGACGGAATGTAGCTGCGGGGCGGAGGCGAAGTTTATGCGAAGAGTTTGTACTGCCGTGTCTAGACACCTTAATTGGTGCTCTTAGTAGAGTGTGCAACTGTTCAAATGACCTAGACTTCTCTTCTTCTAAGAACCTTCCTCAAGCGATGCTTCATCAACAACTCCCTCCTACAGGCGACTCCGTCTGTCTGCGCTGCGGGGCCTTCGTTGATTCACGAGCAATAACATCAGGCTGGACGGGTGCTGCTGCTGCTGCTGCAGGTGCGGGTGTAGGCACTGGGGCTTATCAGCAGCAGCAGCAGCAGTCGTTTGGGGGCGGGATGTTGTCTTCTTTCTTTTCTTCATCTCAGACGCAGCAGCAGAACCAGCGAAACAAAGAAGGGAGAATTCCTTTACCAACTTTTTCATATTCCTCTGCTGTTTCGCCTCGGGGGGTAAATCAATCAGACGTGAGAGTGATTAGTTTCTTTGGCTTTCTCTTCATGCGTTCTTGCAAACAACAGTACAAACTAAAGGAAATTAATTATATTCAGACGCTTGCACCCATGCAGTAGTAGTAGTGCTGCTTCCTGAACTCAAGTGCATCCGTGTCCACGTACAGATGCTGTTTAATTACCCACACATTTTTTGTCTATTTTTCATAATTGTAGATAACTGAAGACAGCAGCAGAATGGTGCCTGAATTCTTATTTCATGGATTTAGTTTCTGTAGTGTTTATTTGTTTGTTTGTTTGTACGAGTCGTCGCCTGTTGATCTCGCGTGTGCCGTTTGTTTATGTTTCTTCATTCCCTACAGTTGCTGACTGAATTTCCTATACTGCAATATGTTTGTGTTGCTGCTGTCTGTGCATGCGAGTATAGACAAAGAAGAAAGGAGAGAAAAAAAAAGAAGACGCAGCAACTCGAGCTGCCCGCCTCGGGCGTCTGCGGAGTTCTGCTCTGGGATTCCCAACGGATGATGAGGGTTTGGTGGCTCTGCCGGCGTTCTCTTTAAATGGAGCACGGTGAAGAGAGAAGAAAAAATAAGAAGAAGATGAAGATGCAGTGCTACGCTGCACTGCACAGCCACAGCACAGCTGCACTAAGGGGTTCTGCTGTGGGTTTATTATGCAAACCGATCGGTTTCTCTTTTGTTCATACGCATTGCGTAATATTAATGATTGGAATTCTTGTGAGTTTTAAACTCATCGCAACAAAACGCCAACACACTGACAGACCCACAGGCAGTGAAGCGGCAGCGAGACGGCAGAGACGAAAAGCAGCAAATAAAAATACTAGCTTCATACCGAATGGAAGCCACTCTTTTTATTATTACTGCAGATTCCTCTCCTTAAACTGAGCAGAGCAGTTCACAGTCTAGATTAGTTGAATTTAGAAGGAAGGGATGTAATCGAATAGCAAAACGATCAAACTAATATTATATGCATGAGAATATATATATATATATATATATATATATATATATGAGTAGATGTGATGCAATAAGACGACGATGACTGTTAATATATCTTAGCTGGCAATCGCGACTTTTTTGTTATTTTTCGTTTTTAATTTTAAAAGAGTTCGACACTGCCCATGAGGGCCTCATCAACGAGAATAACAATATGCAGAAAGAGGTCTAGCTGAGGAGCAGTGGCTGCTAGCCAGAACAAAGGGGTTTGCAGCAGGGGCTGAATCCCATGAACGATAACACAGCAAGAGCGCCTGCCGATGTGGTAGCCGGGCTCTTCAATAACCTGCAGCTTCTTCCTTAGCTGTTCCTCCACAGGATCGCAGCTGTTGGCTGCTGTGGGTGTTGTGTTTGTTGCCGTTGGCGATGCTGCCTGCTGCTGCGCACTGCAGCGAGTCACCTTGGGAAACAACTGCGGCAGCACATAGTGGACGAGATCGCCGAGGGTAGAAAGCGTTGCGGTGTCAGTATGGGCAGCAGCAGCAGCTCCGCCTCCAGCATGAGATGGTGCAGCAGCAGTAGCAGCAACAGGAGCATCAGAAACAGAAGAGCTCTTTGGCTGTTCGCTGCTGAGATTCGTGCCGCCGTTGCCGCTAGCTGCGAAGAAGGGGTTGCTGATGCCGTCGAGGGTTTGAGCGGGGCTGCTGAATCTGCTGGTCAGAAAGCAGGGAAAGCTAAGAGAAAGTTCAAAGCAGGGAGGCCCGCAAATGTACAACCGCACAGGAATGCGCCGGAAGTGTTTGGGGGTCATGGGTGGCAGCAGCTGACGACAACAGTCGAGGAACTCGGCAATAGCTCCAGTACGGGAGGCGGTAAGCAGTTGCATTTCGGCTGCCTTGGGGAGTCGCTGAAACGGTACTGCCGAGCCGTTGATGATGTACGTCGCCTGCTTGAGCGAATTAATGAAGAAACTCTCAAAGCCCGCCCACCCAACGAAACCAGGGGAAGAAAACACCTTATTAGAACCCCCACTGAGGTAGCTAGACGCCGAACCATGAAAGTGAATCGTCAAACACCACGGTAGCGCCACGTCGCATCCGCAGGCAGAGAGCTCGCCAAAACCAGCATCTGCTGCAGAAGTGTCTGCAACGGACGCAGTCAGCCGCTTGGCGCGTCCTCCCTTCATAGAGCTCAAGATGTCGAAGGCAACGCCAATTGGTAGCCGCCAGTCAATCGGTATCCCGCCAAAGTCGAAGAACGGAGATGTCGGCTGGCCAAAGGACGGCTGGATGTACGGCTTGAAGTGCTCGTGGCATTTGTCTATCAGCGTCGGCAAATACGAAACTCGAGGCACAAATATGTACAGAGGAGCCGGAGGCTTCAAAGCCACGACTTCTGACGACTCTAAGAATATGCAAAGCGGCAAACCACTCTGCATAAGTCGAAGCCGTTCTGACGCATCGAATTCCAAGCCAGACGCCTGGAGTTCTTTGTCTGATGAACCTGAGGCCACCTCATGTTGGGGAGTCGGCATCATGAACTCAGTTGGCGCCAATCTGCAGACTCAGCAAACCACTGGGTTTCACCAATTATGAGCTACTGACACCCTCGGCAGCTACCGATGCAGAAAGCACTCTCATAAGTTTCCCCCAATCGTCAATGCGGTTCCTGGTGGAAGAGCCCCATGACGACACTCGCAAGCCCCCCCTGCCTCCAGCCCGTTGCCAATCCGGTCGCTGCCGCCACCAAAAATTTCAGTGGCTGCGTATTCCGCCTTAATCGGATCTTGGGGATGAACTAAATTCCAGCGGAGCCCCGTAGGATTCATAAAAATCACGAAGAAGACCTCCGTACGTCCTCCAGGCCACCAGTATGAGAAAAACAAGCAGAAAGAGGAGGAGCAAGGAGACCTGCAGGCAAAATATCTACACAGGACATAACACAGGAAGCAAAGGCCCGTTCTTTTGGTGCAGCTTTTGCAACAGTTGAGTGGCTCTTTGGAAACTCGCACGCACACCGCTAGCTCTACACAGATCAACTGGCTCGCGTTGAGTTGTGGTGCTGTGAACGTTGAAGAACACTAGAAAAACATCAAAATCGCGGAAGTCCCTTCGTGCGAAAACCTACTAGACCTCCTGGGTCTGTCTCTTTGGGTGTCGAGAGTTGGAGCAAACGCTGTACATGAGTGGCCGCGTCATCCGACGAGTCAATCCCATCCGGGATTAAGACATAGGAGTGCCCCATAATGGTTGCATCATTGTCTTAGCACGCAAATTAACTCATATTACAAGTACAAATGACATGAGTTACCGTGCGTGAATGCGCCAAACCACGTGCATGTGGAAACGGTAGCCGCTTCGCCTGAAGGCCACCAGTCATCTAGGCAGCCCCACTTCTCAGCGTCGTGTAAAACGCATATGAAATCGTTATATTGTCAATAGAAGCGATGTAAATTGATATTCATCCCACACGCTACGCACGGTTTTCTGTTCGCCACCAGACAACATCGGTGTCGCCGAGGGCGGGCATGTGAGCCGACCTTACAAACTACATCTCTGTAGAAGATGGCTGCAGGATATGGGTTGCTGGGATTCTGAAGCACAGTTATCCGCCTTGCAGGGTAATAATATGTGGGACTATGTTCGCTGCTATCGTCGTGGAGCAGCCGTAGTGTAGTGCTGCTTCACTTCGGCGCCGTTGGAACTTTCCACCATGGTGTTCAACGTCCTGACTTCGTGGTGAAGAGGGATTCTGGCATGCTGGGATGACAGATTTCTACCAGCTCTGTTGCTACATTCTTTCGCGTTATCTCGTTTTTTCGTAAGTACAAGCGGAAATACAGGAGGAGAGGAGAGCTGCCAGTGACTCGAAGCATTGCTGGCCATGGCGTATTTTCAAGTAGTTCGCCTGGTCTTGGGATACTCTCTAACTCCATTCTCATTCGTCTTGGGGTTTATTCTGGCAAAGTGTCTTTCCATGCGAAGATCCCGCCCAGAGTTTAAGGCAGCATTTGCTTCTTTGCTAACTGCATTACAAATCTTGCTGTTCAAAGAGTCTAAGTGGCACTTTTTGGTGGGCTTACTTTTCGCATGTATAGGCTACCGTTCTCTTGTTCCCGGCCTAACTGGGGGCTTGGGGACTGGAAAAAGTTCTGTGTCAACCTTCTTGCGGTCGCACGGATGGAGAGTAATCGACGCTGATGAGATTTCAAGAAACATTTTGAAGCGTGGAACACCAGCTTATCGCCAAGTTGTCAAGGCGTTTGGAAGTTCTGTACTCGACAAGGCATCGGGAGAAGTCGATAGGATGCGTTTGCGCCATATCGTCTTCCAGGATGCAGCCAAACGACGTTTGTTGAACAGACTGACACACCCATGGATAATTGGAACCATCCTCTGGCGAATATTCAAGTTCAGAATCTGCCTGTGGGAGCAGCGTGTAGTTGTTGACATTCCCCTACTATTTGAGACAAAGTTCAACCTTCTATGCGGCCCAGTTGTTGTGGTATGCGTGGCGGAAGATTTGCAACTGCAACGACTGGTTTTACGGGATAGAACTTCATCTGAGGAGCTACTGCGTTCAATGATTAGGAGCCAACTTCCACTAAAGGAAAAGGTGTCATTAGCGGATATCGTGCTAGATAATAATTCAACTTTGGACAATCTTTTTGAACAAATCAAACAACATTTTCCATGCTAATTTGGAAATTTGATACAATGGAGGTTCAAAAGTGATTCCGCCGTAGCCGTGCAATCGGTCCAAACGAGGGACCCGCCTCATGCGCATCCCTACAGAAGTTTTTAGAGAATGAACAGACAAAACGAACGTATGCCAGATCTCACCATAGGCATGGGTAGGCCAAGGAATACACGGATAAGGGTGAGGGCGACGATTCCAATACACATCGTGCGGGTGCCTTCCTTGACAAGACCAAACCATCTGCAAGAAATTGCAATCGTTCGCGCACGAAACGGAAAACAGGTGGACTGCCACAAACGTACTGAGGGAGATCCCTGATATTCTTGTTCAATTCGCAGGTGACTGCAACTCCGCAGACGAAGCCTCCCAAATGGCCCCATATGTCAACTAAATGCACACCGGCTTTGCATCAAACGTTTCATATGCAGCAGTACGAAGTTTGTTACCAGTTTGCCCATAGGACAGAAGAATCATCAGAGCTCCAAAGATGGTGATGTCGAGCGTGTACATGTTCCGTGTGCGCTCATCAAGCTTGTGCCACACCATCAAGATCTCGGCAAGGATGGAGCCAACCAGACCTATGAGGTGCTTGGTTTCCAGGCTGTTTATCAGCAACAAAGAAGCGACGTTGGCATACCAAATCCCGCTGTACTGGCACCGACAGCCTGTAAAATCATAAGTCAAAATGCCCTTTGTTAATTGCATGTGCAGGTTGCATACCAAAGAGCATGGGCGCATCAAGATGGTGAACATGTTCCCGATCAGAGCTGAAGGAAGGATTTTCCCCATGCCTTCTTGAAACAAAATATAGTTTCCTACCAGAGGAGAAGTAGAGCATGAGGAAATTTGTCCTCCCATACTTTATTTCTTTGTCAAGTCCCATATGCTGAGAAACAATGTTTTTTTTCAATATGCAGTTGTCGGATGGTGTATTCAAAAACACTAACCAGAATAAATAGGATGTTAAATAGCAGGTGGACGATGCCGACGTGAAGGAACACGGGCATAATCAGCCTCCATGCTTGGAAGTGTCTGGAGTGACGCAATATTAGACCTGCTTGCTAATTGGCATACTTCAGAAGTGATTACCTAATCGCAGGCCCGTAAGTGGCTCCTAGTTGGTACAAGACACGCTCCGTAGGCTGCGGAAGGCAATGTAGAGGATTTTTCCCAGGTTAATTCAGTGTTTTCTCACCTCAAAGGCCGAGGACATTGCACATGAGAGAATGTATACTCCAACTTGAACCAACGTTATCAAGACAATCGACCTGTGTTAGGATATGGTCCACATATGATCCTTCACGATTGACTGGAATTATGATGTAAACTTGCTTGTCCAATGAAATGTTTGGGAAGGCTGAAAGAAGTTGCATTAGCTTTTATTTCAATTGTTGCATTGTGTTTGTCCTCTTACCGACGTCAATCAATCTGCCAGTCCTCGGGATCCCAGCCCCGAGGACTCTCTGCGACTCGATATCGGACATTTTGGAGCCTTCCTGCTTTGAAGTACTGTTGGAAGGAAGCAAAGTGTCCCAAGAAATGTGGACAGAATCGACTATATATGATAAAATGATGAATGCCTCACCCGCTCGGCTGCGATCACACGCTGGGCTGCATGTACACCCGAATACCTGCTGTCGGATTTGCGCATCACAACATTTTCTTTGCATGGTTTCTGCATGAGTTCAACAATGCGGGCCATTTTCATTTTTTGGCTATAGTAGTATTTAGCTGCAAGTTATCGTCGTGTTGTGCCTACGCTATGACGCCTTTGGCTGCTTGGAAAACTCTCCACTTCCGAACGTAGGTTGTGAAGTGCGTCCAGTGTGCCGGTGTGTAGAGGGGAACTGCCTTTCCTCCCGAAGAATTCACCCCTTTAGTATGGAGTTTCATCCATTTCCTAGTATATTATCACTGGGAAACTTGAAAGCCTTGTAAGAAAACATGATCGGCCATGCGTGTCTAGCTCGCCGATTCCATCGCATATTCGGAATATCTGACGGTGCCCTCCTTGGGCGTGCAAGAAGGGCTTCCCAAACGCGCTTCAATTCATCGTTGACCTCGCTGACTACTTCCTCGGACGCCCCCAATGATGAGGACAATGCAACCTATGGAAGACGCACTCGCCAAGTATACTGGTTCAGCCCGGATCTAAAGTCCCCGAGCGTCGAGGTCCGCCCTCCCCGCCTCAAGTTAGAGAACACTCGTGTAGTTTTAGTCCATTTTTGACACTCAGTGCGCACTTCATGGACTTTAACTTTGCTTCCATTCGAACGCTCGCGCCCCTAATGCGTAACCAGAAAAACTGCCGTTGCGCCCGTGCCACTCCCACTCTGCACTGTTCTTGAATTTCGTCGCTGAAAGAGTGCATGCGTTTTACAGCTTCCCTCCGGAAAGCAATGCTTTGTCTTCAACGCAAAAAGAGATCAAGATGGCGAGCTGGAGCCTGTCCTGTGCTTTGTGGACCGGTGAGTGGGCAGACATGCCTTAGGAGGGCCCGTACACTTTGCCCTGGAACACTGACTAACAGGATTACGACATTGCCTTTTGTAAGTCTCTGTGGCGCAACATGCTGCACAGGCACGGGAGACGACTGATGTGGATGGACGCGGAGGAACTTCGTGAATTTGAAAAACTCGTCAGTAACGAACAGGCATTCCATCCTACTAGATAGTTGATGACTTTGCATATGCTGCCAACCCGAAACTGAAGGTCGGGCAAGATTTGCATGTGCGTCCGCTTGGGTCCTGCAGATACCTCGTCTTGAAGAATATTTCAAGTTGTACTCACCAGACGAGAATTTCGGGACAGACGCGCACGCCACAAACGATTGAAGGTACCAGACTAGATTTGTTCAACAGACGCGTTTAGCGCCGTCACAATGTTAGTAAGAAATCTATCAAGGCTTTAAAACCTTTTAGGCCTAATTCCGGCCTCAAATAAGGTGCCTCCCTATTGTGGCGTCTCTGTGGTCGGCCAGAGATGCTGGAAAAGTAGTGAGGCTGCGCACCTTATGCGCTCACAACTTGGGAGTTGATCCTCTTAAACCTAGCTTTTTTTGTCTTTATTATGCGTTATGTGGCAATGCGGATAATCTGCGACACAATAGACGCGTTTCCAGATTTCAGGAACCGCAAAAGGTTCTCCACACGGTACCGTGCACTGTTGGCCGGCGGGGGATTTGTGAAGCAGCACACGCGACAAGCTTTAACGTGTAGCCTGTACACTCGCACTTCCAAAATCAGTGCACGCTCAGCCATACAGTTGCGTGTTTAACAGTTTCACAGCAAATTTTCTGCTGCTGCACTGAGAAGTCAGCATGCCTGGTGGGAAAACTGCTCAGACTTTGCCATGCGCACGCTGGTGGGAAGATTACTCATCCTCAAAGGTTCCCTCTGGCAAAGTTGGAATCGCCCAGCTGTCTTCAACGCATTCCTACAGGACAGGCATTGACAAGCAGCTTGCATTTGCAACTGAGACCGCATTGGGAGAACGGCCAAAAGCCCGCACAGCGACAACTTCGTGATAGGAACAGCAGCAGCAGTACTGTGGCGGAAGACTCACCAGAACAAGCCTGTCGTACTCAACTCTGTTGTTAACGAACATTTTTGCTGCCTGAGGGTTGGCTGGAGAGTCGGGGTTGGGGTCGCTTAGCAGACTTTGAATTGAAGTAAGCACCGCTGCGACGTCATACATGGCACTCCACTGGTTTTGCAGGATGTCTAAACAAATTTTTCCATCTGAGTAAATGTTTGGATGATACATTCGCGTCAGGAACCGGACATTCGGCGGCGAAGTCGGGTAGTCCTCCGTGAATTTAATCAGTAAGTGGAAAGTGCCTGTCTCCCACATAGTGTCTTCTGGCCTGCAGTCATTTAATTCAAAACAGATCAAACAAGCAAGGCAGAATTAATGCCGTTTCTGACTCTACGTGAAGTATGCTGACGTCAGCAAAGAAGGAGAGCATAACAAAGTCATCCGCACCCGTTGATGATTGCATGGCAATACATCATGTTGTCTGAGAAAGGAGAGGCCTTCACTCCGTGGGGGGGATCACGAGTGATGCGAGAGATGTCTTGCACAATTCTTCGCCTCTGAGATCATATGACATTCACATGGTGAACAGAGCAGACCACAAAACACCCAGATTTTTTCTTGCAAATGCTCTACTTGTTTCACGAACTGCATGCAACTCTCATTATTGTTTCATGGGAAAGAATGAGAAGCTGAACCAGCCGGGAACCCGCAAGAGAAGCTGGTACGCAAATTTTCACTCAATGATTAGCACCACGCTCATCATGCATAGAAGAGCTGACAGTCGAAAGAGCATGGAGAAACTGGCTGCACAACTCAGGCCATCGATACAGAAGAAGCGAAAGTGATGAACTTGCCGCAAATGTCGACATCTTCACAGCTCCTCTCAGAACGTTATAATGACGGGATGCCCATACGCCGATGGTCCCTGCATCCTAGCAGTTGAGTTGCCGTGCTCTGCATGAAGATGTTCGCTGCAATTGAAGAGCGTCAATGACCGAAGGTATTAGTTGGGCAAATTTTCCGTTCCTTCACTAAACCCTCTCGCTTTGGCGATATCCGCCACAGCGCGCAGCGCAGTCAGCCCGTGCTCACGAAACGTTGCGAGCGCATGGAGTGCGCCATAGAGGGATTCTCGAAGGAACAGGACTCACTATTCTTCAATCATGTAAAGCAATGCATTAAAAAAGGTGAGTTTCTCGACTTAAGTGGTCAACGACACGAACATAAACAAAGTGGGGCTTTCCGTAGGCAGTCGTGGACATGCAAGGGAAGGAACCTCGTGCGCACTCGAAAATATGTATTTTAGGGTCTTTACAGCTATCGAGGAGAGGAATTTAACATATTTAAATGCATTTAAACCACTCTGGATAAACTCCTTGACTTCTGTTCCATACGCCGCGCGCCTTGCCCTGGGGCGATCCTCACCGCCGAAATTGACAGGCTCAAAGGCGGGCGCTGGAGAACTCTATAAATGCGTCTTCATCTTTCTGAGTCTGTAGAGGCGTCATCACCCGACGAACTGTTCTTTAACTTCAGTGTTTCATTCTTTAACATTTCCTCCTCCGTCGTCATCTTCTGAATCGATAGGAGAGCAGTGGTCCCGTCAAACCCATCGGGTTTCGATGGGTTTGAGGGCTTCATTACACCATCCAGAAGACTAAATTCAGTGAAGATGGTGCTGACACTAGTGGGCCTTGGCTTAAACGATGAGCGCGATATCTCTATCCGTGGCCTCGAGGCGATCCGCACGGCTGATATCGTCTACCTGGAGAATTACACGGCGACGCTCAATGTGGACACCTGCCGGCTTGTGAGACATTCCATTCACAGAAGAAGAAAGCAGGGAAGGCAGCTGTTTCGTTCGAGAATGAGCTCGTGTGTGGCGTCAAGTGTAGGGGACACCCGCGCACACATTGCTGTTTACTCCAAGGTTTTGTCTGCAGGAACGTTTCTTTGAAAAGCCAATTGTATTAGCAGACAGAGACTTTGTAGAAGGACAAGCAGAAGCAATGCTAGAGGCAGCAGAAACCAAACGAGTTGTCTGCCTTGTTGTCGGCGACCCCTTTTGGTGAGGCGAGGCGCACGCCCCCACGCGTACGATTCCATCTCGTGTAGAGGGAAAACTTCATATGAATGAACAGTATATATATGTAAATGTATGCGTGCATATATATATATATATGTATGTATGTATGTTTGCGCATACTTCATTTATTCCCAGTGCGACGACCCACGCGGATCTGTATCTAAGGGCGAGACAGAGAGGTGTAACTGTGAAGGTCGTTCATAATGCGTCCATTATGAGCGCCGTCGCTGCCAGCGGCCTACAGGTAATTTGAATTTCGCTAATAGACTGGTTTTGTTTGAAATACGGTCTAATGTGCTTATACACGAGCTATTGTCTTCTGGTTGTAGTGGGATGTGCATTTTTCTGCTTCCAGTTGTATCGGTTCGGCGAGACGGTTTCAATTCCCTTCTTTGACGGCGGCTGGAAACCCGTGAGTTTCTACGAAAAGATAAAGAAGAACAGGGACAACAACATGCACACTTTGTGCCTATTAGGTGCGTCGCGATAGACAACTCCTTGAATAAGTTATGTTTTCCTCCCGTGTCTGTCAAGGTCTCACCGTCAGACAAGCTTCTCCCCTTGCTGCGTCTTCGTTTTTCTCACTTGAAATGCATTCCCCAGCTGATGGCACTTGATTGTCCACTGTGCAGATATTAAGGTAAAGGAGCAGACAGTGGAGAATATGATGAAGGGGAACAACATCTTTGAGCCCCCGAGGTGAATCTTTTCCTCATTGCTCTCTTTAGCAGCCTCTGTATTTAATCATTTCACAGGTATTGCAAGTTACCTTTCCCTCATGTTTCCTTCGTTTGAATATCTCCACCTGGTTTTCTTTGAGTTGTTGTTGCGTCTTGCAGATTTATGACAGTCAACACCGCCATCGAGCAGCTCCTCGAGGCTGCGGAGATGCACAACGACGGTAGGGGCGCAAGCTTCCTCTTCATATACTTCATTTTGCAATACAAAACGAAGCTAGCCTCATTTCTTTCCCCATTGATTGTTATACAACTCGAATTCAGGCTGGTAGTGCGCGCCATCTTTGAATGCGTGGCTGTGCAGAAAACGCTAAGAAGATTTTGGCCTTCGGCTTGGCTCGAGTTGGGGCTGACGATCAGATGATTGTATCTGGTGAGAGGAGAAACTGCCGCTGTACAGGGGTTTAGCAGGACAGAGCCGATTATAGGGTATGATGAATATTATTCGTATATGCATTCTAACAATACTATTGTGTAGTATATTGCGAACTGGCTTGGTTTGACTTGCAAGAAATAAATTGGAATTCGTACTGGACCGCTGCAGGAACGCTTGAAGAGCTGCTGAATGCGGACCTTGGGAAGCCTCTGCACAGCCTGGTGAGTGTGTCTGTCTTCTAGGGGTAGCAGAAAGATCAGCAACACGTTCTGGTCCTCCTTGTAAAAATATGTTTTGCCTTTTTTGCCCTCTGTTGTCATCACCTCAGGTGCTGTGCGCCCCGGAGCTACACGAAATCGAACAAAGTTTCGTCGCTTTGTACCGGCTCACGCAGTCAAAGTCGTGATGCGCCTTTAATGTGCATCAAGACCTTAACCTCGAACTTGCAGGGGTTTCCCATTTATATAATGACTTGATACGCAACCCCCTGTGGCTTTTAGGATGTCTGTTATAAGATTATTTGACTATTGTCTTCTGGCGCTTTTAGCGACCTCCCCAGAATATTTGTAGTCATCTCCTTTCTTTTCTGGTTAGCGGTTGGCCTCCCCGTGGAGGACGAAGAAACAGTGTCCTTCTGTACCACGTCCCTTGCCTCCCTGCCGATGGTTTGGTGAAAGCACAGCAACGCATTCTGAACAGCAGACGGAGTTCAGGGAGACAATACAACTAAGCGAACCATATAATTGCTGCTTGTGCGACAGCTACGCATCTGAGAAATTTGCAATCGTTGCTCTCTCTACGTTGAACGTGAGGAGTAAGCGTGCGTGGCTGTTGTAGTCCTCAAGAGACACTTAAGTGACAAATGGCATATGCGTTTCTGTTCAAGGACAACAAATGTAGTTGTGCGACCTGGTGGTGTGAATTTCCCCTAGGAACTTCACAGGTCTGAGAGGGAGAAGCGAATGGCGAGGCAGCTGTGCTGGCTGCTGTCCTGCGTCGCCGACTAATGACAAAGGAGCTTGGAGTTGAGTACTAAGGAAACGCAGCTCAGATGCCCGTGCGCGAATCTCGCTGTGTAGAAAGACCTGTTGACACAGATGAGCACGCCCACACGCCCGACGTCTCTTTCAACTTTTAACGTCGTTCTACTCAACAACAGGTCGACCTCGCTTCCCAGATCTAATAATGATGCATCCTCGTGAGGCTCATCTATGATCCAATGCACCATCAAATGTGTCTTAAAATAATGCAAAAAAAATTGAAATCCACGCGCAGACTGCAGGAAGGAGGCACCAGCGCCCCAACGAGAACGGCATCGGCATGGAGGCTGCTGCGCTTAGCGCCGTCTGCTTCTCCGCAACGGCCATCACGGCCCTCTTGGAAATTCCTCTGCACATTGGGTCTCTGCTTTTTGAGAAGAAAGCAGCTAGGGGAACAAGAGGCCCCGGAAACTCCACCACCCCGTCATGCTGCCGCCCTACCCCGTGTCGCCCAGCTGCTGTCTGGTGCACATCGCACGCCCGTCCCATTCGAGATAAAAGCGATTCTCTTCTTAGGCGGGCACCGATCCAACTCGGACTCCTCCTCTGCTGTGAATGGCAACGCCACGACAAACCCGATGAAATACGGCGACGGCCCCCCCGCCCAGCCAGGCCGTAGCCGAAGGCGCCCACGGGCTCTCCGTCGCTGAGCACCGACGACAAGTCCGTCAATCTGAGGAAAGAAAACACAGAAAAAAGAGGCAAGAAAGAAATGATGCGTCACAGTAACAAAGGTGAATGCACAAAGACGCACAACACTACACGAATCAAACCACGCACGCCTTTCTGCTGTGGGTAGACTAAGGAGAAAGATACAGTGCAAACCGGCCCAGAACAATGCACCTCAACCTACACAACAAAGAGGGGCAGCAGCATGAGCTAGCCTTTAATCGCTTACTTTCTCACACTGGAGACCCTCAAATCCTCTGGGAACAAATAAGAGAACAAGAAGTGATCGACTGCCTGCAGCTTCACCAGCGTTCTCTCTTCATATGCTGCAGTGTCCGTTTCAGCGCTCCTGCTTGCGGGGACTGCGTTTGTCCCGGGAGTTGCTGGCTGCTGCTGGCTGCTTTTACTGCTGCTGCTGTTATTGCTGCTGCTGGTGCTAGCTGTAGGGGAGCCATCTGTCTGGACGCCGTAAAGCTTGAAGAACAAACTGCGCGTTTGACCCATGCGATCTTCCCAGCTCTGCAGTTCGTCTCCACGGCTCTCCATCCGGGGATACTCCCCCATGGCGGCTAAACTATGTCTTCTTTCAATGCTCGTGTCGGCGGTTGGAGAACTGCGCGCGAGACCGGACGACGAATTCCTTTCAAGGCCCCCTGTGCTGAATGAAGAACTCGCTGTTCTTGCGTCGCTGTGAGCCCCTGCGTGTGACTTTGCCTTTTTCTTGTGTTCAGTGTCTGATCCGCTGTGGTGTTTGCGATCACGTCGCCGGCGGCTCCAGGGGTCCCTAAGAAGAAAGAAGCTCTTCCACGCGCCGATGGTGCAGGAGGGCTCGAGGACTTCTCTGAGAGGGAGGAAGTTGTACTTTTCTGGCAGGTAGGCGGAGGCGATTGTGCCTACGTCTGTCATGTGCACCTCCCCGCGGTGTACAGCGGCCACCAGGTTCATCGGGGTGCTGAATTTAACGTGAGTTACCCCAATAAGCACGTCTTTGGGGATATCGCGCCATGGCGACAGGCAACCCATCAACAAACACGAAGCAGAACCAGCGGCAGATGCCTCCCCCCCACAGGGCAGCCCGTCCTGCCACGGAAAGTCTCCGTCTACTCCCAGCGAATCGTTCATGAAGGCAACTGGGGGTTTCCGAGAGGAGGCGGACAGTTGTTGCAGGCCGTGGTGTGGGCTTTTTCTGCCGTTTTCATTGCATGCGGAACTGCAGGAGAGTTCCTGCGCCACCGCTGTCTTCACATCATGAAGACGCTTGCTAAAGGACTGATCAAGAATGCTTATGTTCAACTCCCTGTCGCCCACCAACTCCCGACGCAGTCCTGGGTTCTGCAAAGCGATTACCGTCAACTCTCGAGCAACTGCCTGAACAAGTTCAGGATAGAAACCCGATGTGTAGCCCTGGTCCGAAGCCAACTGCGGAAATACGCTGAAGTCCATGGTTCCCACCAACAGCTGCTTCTGGCGCACAACCTGCATATCCATTCGCGCCACACATCACACGTTTCATAACAATGCATCATAATACTAAACACCGCCACCACCCCTACCCTCCCTGAATAGCAAGCTCTGTTGTCCTACTGGCTTGTAGACATTGCTGCAAACAGAACGATATGAACTATAGCAAGTACATGCAAATAACATATTAGTATGCATATATGCATATAATATTACATATATATAAAGCAAGAGTGCGTTGAACCGTCAGAGGTCTCCACTTGTCTGCGTACCTCTAGGAAGGCGTCAGCAGGGAAGATATCTGCGAATTCCGTTGGAATGCACTGTTCAACATCGAGCAGGATGTCGCTTTGGCAGAGATCAAGAGGCACCATCGGTAATTTGTATTTATCCAGCAAGTAATCCCGCACCCCAAAGGCTACGATGCGACGCAAAGCGCAGTCAAACGCCAGACGAAGTCCTGAAGCAGCATTTCGGCATTCAACAAAGTGATGAGGATGATACGATGAAACTATTTCAACATCCAGCAAAGTGGTGATGATAATATGATGCTAATATTTCCGCATCCAACAAAGTTTTGAAGGTAGTATTTCAACATTTAACAACGTAATAATGATAATATTTCAACATTTAACAACGTAATGAGGACAGCATTACAACATTTAGCAACGTGATGATGATAATATTTCAGCACTTAACAACGTAATGATGACAATATTTCAACATTCAATAACGTAATAATGATAATATTTCAACATTTAAGAACGTAACGATGATAATATTTCAACATTCATTAACGTCATAATGATAACATTTCAACATTCAACAAAGTTATGAAGATAATATGATGAGAATATTTCAACATCGTTTCAGCATTCAACGAGGTGATGAAGATAATATTTCAACATCCAGAAAAGTGAAGATGAGAATTCATCACCTCGCGAGCCGCTCAACGTGGGAAACAGACAAGAACGAAAGCCATCATGAATAGAGTGAAAAAAGTAAGGAAGAACGAATACAAAAGAGGAACGGCAGAGAAAGCAAGCTGCTTTCGTCGGTGTTTCCCCTGAAACCTGAATATCCCTCACCTGTAGAACAGACAACATCTCCGGCCCCTCTCTCTCTTGGTGCCGGCGTCCCATTTAAATTTGCTTTTGAATTAGATGACCCAGAGGGTCCTGGCAATCGTGAATCGCCAGAAGAGGATGAGGGGCCCCCGGCGGAGCTACGCAAGGAAGCAGCGGAATCTGCAGCACCACTTTCACTACCGCTATCTCTGGAAGCAGCAGCAGCAGCTGCTGCTGCAGCAGATTCTTCTGGGGGTTGTTTCGGGGTGCCCAAGTCGACGTCCTCTCGCTTGGGGCTGTGCACACTAGAAGGGCTCCCTAGGGCCTCTGTAAAGGCTCGAAGCGGTTCATAAGCCGCAAATAATAAGAAAAAGGAAAACAACGCAACTACATTTGTCTTGTGCCCTCTAATCATCTTCTTCACACCCTCCTCCATTAACTCAAGCTGAAACAGCGGAAAAACTCCGCTCTGCCCTTTTAGCAGCGATTAATAAGAAATCGACAGGCACATTTAAACATACTTGTTGTCTACAGAACCCAAGAGTTCCATATCTATGAACCATTGCAAACAATACACAAACAGACAGCCAGCATCGCACCCCGTTCTTGCTCTGGGGGTTTAGATGAGGTTCAAATGGTGAGTAAAAATATGTACGTTGGTTTGTTCGGCATCCACAGCATCAACTTGTACTTCTCTCTCAAGCGCATGCAACAGAAAAGGCGTAAACTCAACGAAGGGAACAGACAAATACGCCGTTGATGGAGCCGCCAAGCGATCTAAGAAGAACACGAAATGAGGCTTGTCCTGTGCATGCATGCATGCACGGGGCAGAAACGAGACTAATGCCTAAAATGCGGCATCAGAGTAGCTGAGTTATGATCGAACAAGAACCGAAATAACCAAACAAATTCGAAGAAGACCCTACCAGTTCCACAAACGTATCAGTAGCGAGGCGAGGAAAGCGCCCCGATGCAAACACGGACTTCTTCATTCACCCCACGAAAGGAGTGTCGGGTCCTACAGAACGAATAACAACCAAGCAGACCCCCTAAACCCCTTAATTAAAAAGAAGATCTCTAGAAATCAACAACAAACAAACCAGAAGAAACCCCTTTCTCGCGGGGCTGGGGCAACAACAGGTGGCGGCAGCTCGACAGCTTGCATACAGCCAGCACGAGGACGCCCTATAGCCCTTACCACCCTGCTAAACTCCTAAATGCGTTCAATTAATGCATCTAAAAATGAAATTAATTCCATTTAAGATTCATAAATACCTTTATTTTTCTTTCTATTACCTCATAAAGGCCAGCCGTGGCGTCGACCCCCGTGCATGCGCTCGTGTTCTTCTGCGTGCGCCTGAGGCGACTGCCTCTTAGCTGCAGTGCAGCCTGACTTCAGCTATATTACGTCCACATAATTAACATCGTAATATACCTTCTCAGCCTTACTTTTGACGTTTGTGCGTCTTGCTTAAGTATTAACTCGCAAAGCACTCTCTTGCCAGTGCGCCACACAGCCCCAGGGGAACAAGCGGGTGTGCCGCCGACCAGCGAGCGTAGATGTTTGCATTTAAAGTTTGCTTGTGTTTTTGTAATTAAATTAAGTTTCTTTTTCTGTTTGCCTTTATGTGCTCGGGAATTTCGCACCCGCTTTCGCGGCGCAGCGCGTAGTGCGTCTCATCGTACTCATCCTGTATGTACAGCTGATCCGTGGATTTGGCTGTTCGCCTTCGTGATAAGACTTCATTCTGTCTTCTCTTCTCTTTTTTTTCTTTTTCTAACTCAAGTCTGAGCAGCATCAAGGTGCTGCGGGCACGAAGTACAGGGAGAAGCGCGCTGCCGTGCGGCCGTGCAGCGTCTGTCAGTTTCTGATCTTCTCCTAACTTAGGAGGAAGCAGTGTGGGATTTCCTCTCCTTCTTGCTCCGATAAACAGCAAGAAAGGCCGCAGATAACACTGCGGAGCAGAGCGGAGCTGAACCGCTTTGTTGCCTTTTTCCTGCTTCTCGTTATTCTTATCCTGGTGTTCCGTTGCGGTTGTTGCAGTGTTTTTTATTTGATCTGCTGAAGGACAGCGCTTCGTCTTGAACATTGGACTCTTCTCATTCATCTTAAGACTGTGGTGTCGATGCTCTATCATCTTCGTCTCGCCGCACCGCCGCTGCAGCACTGGGTAGCTTGCGTTGTTGGGGCTGCCGCTGTTGCTGCTGGAGGCTTCATGGGTTGCTGAGGCTGAGACTGCATGCCTGCGTCTCCTCTGCTGGCCCTCCCTCTACTTTTTCTACGGAAATACTTGTGGTTGTTTCGTTGTTTCTGTGCCGCTTCACACGACGTCTTTGGTGTCTGCTGGGTGCTGAGAGGAGGCCGCATGCAGCGTTGATGAGTACTATGATGAGTCTTACTGTATATATATAATTCAACTGCTGCTGTTAGGCATTTGCTGCTCTGTCTGTACACCCGCCTTGCGCAGCCTCAGGGGCTTGAAGGACGCAGAGCATGTGGGGGTTTTTCTTTTTGTTTTTCTCGCATCAGCGGCCAGCAGCCTCACTTCATCGTGAGTGATTCGCATTAGGGAGTTCTTCTGCAGCAGGTTTTGTCTATCCTGTCTGTCTTTATATATCCGTAGTGTTTCTTCCTGCTGCCAGCAGCAGCAGCAACAGCAGCAGCAACGACACCAGCAGCAGCAGCAGCAGCAGAAACAGCAGCAACATGGGCCACAGAAGGAGCGCCAGCCGCTTGTTACGGCACCGCCCAAGGGCCCCGAGCAGCAGCGCAGCCGATGCAGCAGCAGCAGCAAGTTGCGGGTCTGAGGTTCCTGCTGCAGCAGAGCAGAATCTATCAGGGAAGCGACAGCCGCGGTGGATTCGTTTCCTCGCTCGCAGACTACGGTGTATATACGTCAAGGAAGAGAGACGCACAGCAGAATGGTGTCAGAGTGCAGCAGCACAACGCCCAACCCATGTTAGCCGTCGCCGCCGCCTTCGCCTTCGACGCCGCAGAAGGGCTGGGGGCCCCCAGGAGGCCCTCGAGAGCGGGAAGCAGCAGCAGTGGCAGCAGGGAAGGCTTCAAGAGGGGACCCTGGGCATCTTTATTCCAGAGGAAGCGGAGCTGCAGGCCACAAGAGCAGTAGCAGCAACTGCTGCTGCAGCTGCTGCAGCAGCAGCAGCTGCTGCTGCTGCTGCAGCCGCAGCTGTTGCAGAGGAGAGGAGCGCGGCTGGTACAGGTAAAGGAACTACCAGCAGCCCCACTCGTTATAGCAGCAACAAGAGCGAGAGCTGCGGGTGCATGCACTCAACCACTGCAGACGCTGCAGCGGGCCTTGTGCATGCAGCAGAAGGCCTGACGGGTAGCAGCCCTAGCGGTGCTGGGGGAGAGGAGCGGCTGACGTCAATCTGCGCAGTGAGCAGCGTTATAGATTCAGGTGTACATGCAGCGCAGCAAGAAGCAACTCAACCTGTGGATAACTTCAGTACAGAGAAAACAGAGAACAGCTCAGCGACGTCGGGCGTTCTGCTGCCTGCTGTAGACTCTGTGACGGACGCTGCAGCACCAGTAACCACAGCAGCAGCAACAGCAGCAACAGCTGCAACTGCTGCAACTGCTGCTTCCGCTTCTGCTGCTGCTGTGGCTGCTGCATCTGCTCCTGTTGCTGTGCTGCCTCCGCCTCCGCTTCTTGAAGCAAGCAGCAGCGGGGGCTCGCCTGTGGGCCTATGGCCGCTGATGTCTGTTGATAGTCTGGGGGCTTCAGAGGATGTCAGTCGTTTGTTTGCGTTGTTAGAGGAGCAGCGTCTGCGTTTTAATTCGCTGCAGCAGCAAGCAGCAGCTTGTGCAGCAGGGGAGGCCTTCAGCTGGGACAGAAGACAGGAGGCGCAGCAGCTCTCAGCGCTGCTAGTGAGTGCTGCTGTGCACTCTATGCTGGGGCCTGCGAGTCATATGCCTTGTGTTCATTCTCACGACGGCATTCAGGTCTGGAAGGGAGAGTCTGGAGTGGGCAGCTTGGCTTGCAGAGGTGGGTGCAGCAGTTCTTTGTTTGTTATTTCTAACAACGAACAGACAGCCAATTTAGCACAAGAGACGCACACAACAATGCATGCATTTAAAAGAAAGGAGAACACTGAGGCAAAATTTCCTCAATACTGACTCTGAATCACCATTATTAAGCTGCTGCTGCTGATGCTGCTGTTGTCAGTGCGCTGATTTCAACATCTGTTGCGGGTTATGTACAGCGCATGCGGGCTGTTCTGTGTTTGTCTTTCTTTGCCTTGCTTCTGAGATTGAAGCCCTTGATGTTGTGCATATAAAGGTATTTGCTGGTTTGTTTCTCCTACGGTTGTTCAGCACGTTTCCTCTTGCCTATTGAACCCCGTCGCTATGCAATGTTTGCAAGCAATGCTGAGCTGCGGCTTTCGTGGGATAAGAGCGTTTCTGAACAACACGTAGTGGAGCAGCTGGATGCAGGACATGATATCTGCTACGTAGCATTCAGACGCTTGGCTACGGTGTATCCTCGCGATGTAGTGACCCTCCGAGTGAAGTGCAGACTCAATATGCGCCCTGCAGTCGCAAGCCCAGCCTCTGCTGCTGCTGCTGCTGCTGCTGCCTCTGGGTGTGGGGCTGGGGGCGGCAGCAGCGATGCGAACGCGGGGCTGCTGCAGCAGCAAGAAGGCCTCCAAGGGCTCATCACCAGCACTGGCGGAGTCGCAGAAGATGCAGAGGAAGAGGAGACGGCCTATGGCTCTATGAGCTGCTCTATTCATCACCCCGAAGTGCCTGAAGCGTGAGTTTTTGCTGTTACAAAAATAACAATTGATGCCTTAATGAGGAATGCTGGGGTGTCTTTCCATCTACTGCTGCTCATCACATCAACAAGGCGAATAATAATAGTAATAATAGTAATCATAATAATAATCATAGTAATCATAATCATAATAAGCAATAAGCTGACTGTGGTGTTTCTCCTTGGAGTAGCGTTGCGGTGTTTCTTCTTGGGGGGTTTAATTCGCATGCAGTGCAAAAAGAGCTGTTCAAAGGAGCGGTTGAGACTGTGCTGATATATATATATATGCATATATATAATTATATATATATATATCAGTGAGAGTAGAAATAGTAATAGAGAATGAGATAGTAGCAGCAATACTACGGGTAGATGACTCCATAATAATATTGCTGCTTTATAAGAATGACAGCCCTTTGGCTGCATGCAAGGAATTTCCACGAAGCCGTTTGTGTGCGTCTCTGATGAATGCTCTCGGATTTGTTTTAATTTAGACAGCTTTCTTCTTTTTCTATTCCAGTTGGAGGCCCTCGTTTCATTGCACTCCTATTACGCATTTAATGTTCTCTTCAAATTCAGCTCTGCTGGAGCTGCTGCTGCAGTTGCTGCTGCAGCTGATACTGCAGCAGCTGCTGCTGTAGCTGCTGCTGTTGTAGCAGCTGCTGCTGCAGCGATACTTGCTCGTAGCGATATGTTAGTGGATATGTTGTATGCATATGTTTATGTTAATTTCATCGGTGTTCTCTGTACGGCTGAACTTTCGTCCTTTCCTTTTGTTTATTTTGTTTGTTTTACTTATTATTTTTTTGTTTTTGTTCTGCTGTTCATTGCAGGCCCGGCAGAGTTCGAATGGATATTCGCATAAACGCATATCTCGCTAAACCTGTCTGCACTCCTTTTGGCTGTGAGTCTTTCTTCTTTTTTCTTTTTATTATTACTATTATTATTATTTCTCACATTCTTCGGGGGGCTTGGCTTTACATTTGTTCGCGAAACCGTTGATACCCGCAACTTGTGAATTTTTTGTTGCTTTCTTCTGGCTGCACTATATATATATATATATATATATATAAATCTGCTGCTGCAGATTTATAATATAAGCAGCGAAGTTTGGTTATGCTTGTGTTTTAAAAAGTGTTTTCTGCTTTGTTTATTATTTGTTTTGGGGTGAGTACGTCATGGGCAGGCTCTCTTCTTTTGTTTCTTCATCCATATATGATTGCTGTCCCAGAGTTGTATTTGTTGAGAACGCATGTTGATATTTATTGTTTTTGTTTGTTTTTATCTTTGTTTTCATGTTCCTCTTCGTCTTTTTGCGGGTTGTGTATGCTCGTCTTCTTGTGCGTATTCATCATTTATATGTTAATGTGTATATGCTAATGTTTATATGTTTATGTTTACGTTTATATTTATCTTCATGTTTATATGTAGATGCATATGCGCAGTGAATGTTTTCGTCTACATATATTTGCTGCATTTGTTGAGTGTTCTTGTTGACGTCTGTTTATATATGTATGTATAAATTTCTCTTTTTTTCTGTATTTTGTTTGTTTCTGTTTGTTTGTGTATTTTGCTACGATTAAATAGGCGTGTATTTTCTTTTTATTTCAATATATTTTGTGTGTTTATGCATGCATTTAGTGTGGAGCGAAGTAACTCTCTTTAATGAGTCTGATCCAGGAGGGTGGATCCCTGCAGCAATTACACGTACAATATCTGCAAAGTTGTTGCCTTTGACGGTTGAAAGATTTTCTTCTCAAATATTAAAACATTAGTGAGTGATTCATTTTATACGCACTTCTCTTCTTCCGCCGTATCACATATTCTTTTCTTTTGCTGTGCAGAGAGGTTTGCTTCACTCTTCTTGGGAATCTACTATCATTATTCTGTTGTTTATTAGTAGTCTTTATTACTAATATTATTATTGTTGCTTAAGTATTATCATTATTACTATTATATTATTATTTATTATTATTTATTATTTTGTTTTTTAATATCATTATTATTAGGTTATTTGTTGAAGTGTGCTTGGCATTGTTTCGCTCTCTGCTGGGGTATAGGGCTGTTTATTTGATTTTATTTTATTACTGCTTTGCGGTTCATTTGTTTGATTTTTCTGTTAGTGTTTTGCTTTTGTTTGGAGTATATTTGTTATTTGTTTACAGTTTATGACTAACATTGACGCGTTGTTTCTTATTCTCTCTCTGTTCTTATTCTCTGTCTGTCTGCATTATTGTATATATATATGTATATATATGCATATATATTATGTATATATTTTTTCGTTTCTCACCCAAGCTGCAGTCATCATTTCGCTTGTTTTTGTGATTTGTGCATCGAACATTCGCTGTTGAGTCCAGCCGCGAGTCTTCTACATTACGCTTGTTTATGTTAATAGCTAATATATATATAATGTATACATATATCCATCCATATATATATGCATGTATAGAAGCGAGGGGAGTGAATGTCTGGGTGTATGGTTTGATATTATGAAGCATATATTTATTATTGAATAAATAAAATTAAATTTTTATTTGTTTTTTTGTTGCTGCAGCGATATAGCGTGGACGGGGTCAGCGACGGGGTTTGCAGCACGCAAGCTGAAGACGAGTAAATTGGTGGTGAGTGATATATATATATATATTTAATTTCTTTTTTTGTTTATTTATTCTTTTAAATGTTTATTTAAATAGATTGTTTAGGCATTGTTGCATTTCCTTTTTTATATTATTCTTTTTTTGTGTTTTTTCATCATTATTTATACGGGCGTTTGCTATTTATTCAAATATTTTTTTAATGTTTTGTTGGGTGTCTCTGTTTGTTTGCATGTGTATGTTTTTTCTTTATTTAAAGGTCTTCTTCTCTACTCTGCCTTTTTGCTCAATTATTTAGTTCTCTTTTTTTGTTTATTTAAATGTTTGTCTTTTGTTGCTTTGCTCGTTTACATGATATTTTTTTTGTTTGTTTCCTTCCACCTTCACTTTCTTTCTCTTTTGTTTATTTGCATATTCGTTCTCGCTGTGTTTATTATTATTATTATTATTATTATTATTATTATTATTGTCTGAAGACAATATTAACGTACATAATATTTTATGAAGTAGAAGTATTGAGTGTCTTCATTATTTCCTGTTTATTTTTGCTTGGTGTTATTTTTAATGCACTTTCCTTGTTGATAAATATATTTATTTTTTAATTTATTTATAATTAACTCTAAATAATAGCATTTGATGTGTATTTGAAGAAATTATCGTCTTTTACCCTCCGTTTGCTTTTCTTGTTATGCATTGTACTGCATTATTTTATTTTGTTGTATTATATTTTCTTTAGTTTATTTGATTGTTCTGTTTGAATTTGTTTGTTTCCTTCAGCTGGCTTAACACCAGGAGGCGATGTACAAGCTCAAGGGTTTTTCTTAATGATATTTCTATCTTCTTTTTTGCAGGAGCAGCTGCTGTTTGTCTTTGTGTTGTATTGTTAGTAAAAGAAAATGCTTATCCCTGCAGCGCACAGAGGCTAAGCTATTTATTTAATTATCTTCGTAATAAATTGACGCATTTGTTTATTATTATTGGTTTGTTCATAGACTGCTGTAGTGCTAATATCTATATATCACATACATAATATGTAGAAGATGATATATATATATATATATATATATTATATATATATTTATATGCATAGGGCGGCGATCTCCGAGTGCACGTTTGGGTGGGGTGTAGGTTCAGGGGTTTCTTGTTTTCTTTTTATCAAAGTTATATAATATATATAATATATTTGTGTTATATATATTATTTTCTGTTGCATATTCTTTTTTATCGTATGATGTCTTCCTCGTATCTTTGCAGGAAGCACTTTCAAACTCCTACAGCGCTAAATATCTTCTTAACATATTCTTTTTTTTCTTTGTTTCTTTTACTTTATATTGAAACCGATTAGATTAATTTTCAGTGTTTGTTCTGCTTATGAATGTCTCTGTCTATAACTCTGTCTGTCGTTCGCTCGCGTGGGTGCAGGCTGCTTTGTTTGCTTGCTTATTATCTTTGATGTTTCTCTCGTTTGCTTGCTTCGCTCTTTATTCTTTTTGTTTGTTTCCGCTGTTCGTTTACCCCGAGGGTCTGCCTTAGTATTAAATGCAAGAGGCGTTTAACCCCTTTGCTTCTTTAACTGATTATATATATACATATATATATATATATATGCATATAGATATTTATATGTATATATACATAAATATATATATATATATATATGCATAGATTTATATTTATACGAAAATATAATTTCGTTAGTAGAGATATTCTTCGTGGAGTTATGAAGAGTGCGTCAACCCGTTTTGTCTTAGTTTTCTTTTTGGGTTTTGTTACGAAAGAATGTCTTAGAGTTGCTAATTATTAATTTGTTTTATTTATTTATTTATTTATTTATTTATTTATTTATGCTAAGGTTGATTTTAGTCCATGTGTAATACACCTAAGAAAATATGCACCTCGAAGATTAAACGCCTAAGATAATAAACAATTAGTTAATATATCTTTTGTATGCGCTCAGCGCATACTGTATAGATAATGTATATATTATTATATATATTATTTATGTTTATATATTTATATATATTAGGTTTGTGCGTATTTGCATACTATGCACATCAGCAGCATTTCCGCCTACTAGATATTGCGTTCGCTTGAGGTGCGCATCCAGCTAGCTAGCTAGCTAACGCAGCAGGTAGGTAACTAGCTACCACAATAGCTAGCTGGCTAGCTAGTTAGTTAGAAAGATAGCTAGAACAGCAGGTAGGTAGCTAGCCATGCATGCGGGTTTATTTTCTTTCACTTTGCAACAGCCTCCACGAGGATAAAGCCGATTGTTTTACTCTTTTGTTCTTCTTCAATGTTAAGTTGCAGCTGAGGGGGAGATAAAAAATTGAAAAAGGCATTTTGCTTCGCAGGTATTTGGTGCTGCGGTGTGCTGACAGTTCGTGCTGCACAAACTGTCTTATATATATATATATATATATATATATATATACAGGAACTTGCAGTTGATTATTACATATAGGCGAGTTTTAAAATGATATATTACTAATATACACACACAAAGGGGTCTTATAATTATTTTTTGGAGGGGTAATAATAGAAAAGGCTCTCCTGCGCATTGAAGGTGGATGATGTACTTACTATAGAGCAGCACATCAGTTTCTCTATTTTTCTTTTTATTCTTTTTCTTATATATCTTCTCCTTTTGCTCGCGGCTTAAAGAGTACAAAGATCCAGCGGGCAGACATAATAGACTTAACAGAAAAATAATTTGAATATATTTATGAACATTATTCACAACTCCGCGCTGCTGGCTGGCTGTAGCTGTTGTTACCTACAACTGCAGCACTTCTCTGTATCTCTATTACTCTATGGAGCTCTTCTGGTATTCTTCTGGAGGTTTTGCAACGGTATACAAAGGCGTAGACTGTTAATAATAATAATAATAATATATAGTATTATATATAGTGGTATTATAATAATATGATGGCGCCACTCTCCAGGGTAAATCCTTCTAGAGAATGAACAGAATAATATATAAATTTATTCTGATTAATTATATTTAAATTTATTTTTATTTATTTGCAAGTGCAGAGAAATTATACAGACACACACACGATAGAGATTTTGACGGCTAGCAGCGGCATTCAGAGGAGTCTTTTTGAGGAATTGTGTTGTAATCTTATTGTTATTTTACATAAAAGAATTAATTCATTCAATTATTGATTATTTACTCAGAGAAAATTCGCAGATTATCCTCCCCTTGCGGTGTATGCACAGTCAAGAACTGCTGCTGGCTATGCCGTGTTGCATGCATAGCGCAGGGCCTGAGCTGCTCTCTTTGTTTATTTTCTTTTTCTCATTTGAGGCAATTAAAAGGTTTATTTTCATCTTTTAACTGAATGCGTTGAGCTGAAACCAAACAGTGGCGAGTCCGCCGGCTGTATGTACACCTGAGCTCATTGCATTCTTCTTTCTGCATTTCACTCGGCTTGCCTCCTCATATTCTCCATTGCAGTTTTCGTTCTTTTTCCTGTTTTATTCCTTGAGTTGAGTTTAAAATTCTTTCTTTTTTCAATCTAGCGATTCGAGACAGCCGCTATAAGGCCTGCTTCCTCTCCTCTCTTCCCTGCATTTATTATTCATTACTACTCAATCAGTCTATTGGTGTTCTGCTGCTCTTGAGGCGATCAACACCCTTTCCCCATCTGCAGCCTTCAGTGGAGTAATGACTGCAATTTTCTGTTCTTTTTCTCATCTTCTTTCGCTGCTTTCTCCTTCGCTTTCACTCTCCTGAAGGCACTGCTAGCCGCAAGCCTCGTGTTGTAACACCGCCGTCTTTAGTTTGCTTCTTTACTAAATAATTAATACAGAATGGATAAAGAGGGAGATCAGCAGCCTCTGCTGCCGGGTGCTGCTTCAGGACAGGCCGACGCAGCAGCAGCAGCAACAGCAGCAGCAGCAACAGCAGCAGAAGTAGCAGAAGCAGCAACACCAGGAGTAGCAGCAGGACCAGATGAGGAGAGTTTAGGTGGGGTGAAGGATGCAGAAGATAAGACGGAGGAGTTTAGAGGAGGCAAAGCCAAAGATAAAATGCAGCAAAAAGCAGCAGCAGCAGCAGCAGCAGGAGTAGCCCCGTTGCGCTATGCAGCTCCTTTAGGAGGTGTTAAGGGTTCTCTGTTGCGTTCATTGCCGGTGTTGTTTGTTTTGTCTCTTCTGTCTGTGGTTGTTGGAGTGTATCTATCTCTTCATATAGCTCCTCTGCTGCAGAAACATGCAACAGATAGAGCAGCTTTCTACAGAGGTGTGTGGGAGTTAGCTGTCTTCGGCTGTCTGCTGCTTTTATTTTTGTTGTGCTTCGCTCTGAGCGTCTTCGTTCCTCCCGGCACACCAACAGAGTCAGGCCAAGAAGCTTTAGAGACGCATATTGCAGCGGTATGTCTTGAGGTGTATCTGCATGTACACCCCGTCTCTCTACTCTCTATTTACTGCCTATCGACTACCTATCTATGGCTGGGGTGTATGCGTGCAGCTTCCTTCTATGGAGCTTACTGTTTATTTGAATTATATTTATTTGTTTTTGTACACCGATTTGTTTTGTTGTTTACTCAGATGTTGTCGCTCAGTCGCCTTTCACCCCGTTTGCATTTGTTTAAGTATTGCGTTGCCTTGTCCTTAATATACGCATATATATATATATATATATATATGTATGTATACATTTCTGTATACATCTATTTACCTCTACATATACACCTATCTGTAAACACCTATCTATATACGCCTATCTATATACGCCTATCTATATACACCTATCTATATACATATACATATATATACATATATATATGTATTGTGTGTTTCAGGAGACGAGCAGCAGAGGATGTCTGCGTGTGTGCAAGTGGTGCGGAGTGTATAAACCAGACCGAACGCATCACTGCCGCGTGTGTCGGCACTGTGTGCTGCGGATGGACCATCACTGCCCTTGGCTGGCTAACTGTGTGGGCTGGGCAAATCAGAAATATTTCCTGTTGCTGCTTTTCTATGGTGCTGCTACTTGTTTGTTTGTTGCGGCTACTATAGCAGAGTCTGTCCTCGCTGCTGTCGCAGAACCCAAGGTAATTTCTGCTCTTATCATCTTCATTTTACTTCATTTTACACCACTAAATGCATCCACATATCAAATAAGAAGCAATTCTTATACATCTACCTCATTCTTACTTGCTTCAATATATCCATTTGCATGCATGCATCTATTTGCATGCATGCATTTGCATGCATGCATTTGTTCGGGTTTCGTTTGGGGGGTTGGGTTTTTTTATTTGCTAAATTTTCTCTGCTGGAGATGCATCATGATTAATTATGGTTTTGTTTTGATTCTTACTGCTTTGTCTTCATCCGTTCGGGTGTCTGTGCTGCACTTCTTCTTCTATTACTCACTTGTTTGCTCCTCTAGTATGTGTTCTCTCCACGCATGCATGCATGCATGCATGGATGCATGCATACATGGATATAGCGGTTGTGTGTTACTGTTTTTTTGTTTTTGTTTGTGTTTAGGTGGAGTTTAACGTGTTGTTTTTGCTGCTCTTGGGTTCGATTCTGGACATCTTTTTGTTTGCTGTTGTTTTCCTCTTCGGGGCTTTTCACACTTATCTCCTTGCAAAAGGAATGACGACCATCGAATTCTGCGAAAAAAGATTCAGACGCTCTCAACACCAACCACCAGCTGTACGTACACCGCACAAGCCCCTGCCCTGCTATAGCATATTAAATAAATAACTAGAATAAATAAGAAAATAAACATACAAGCACACGTACATCCGCGCCTGCGTATACATTCAAATAAATAAAGAATATATATGGATATAAAACACCCAAAAGAAGACATGTATGTAAATTAATATATATATATATATATGACAAACAGGGGAACAGAGGGCTGAGCTTATGATGGTTTTCTTATTTAATTTAACCCCCTAGTTTTTGTTTCATGTCTCTCATACGCATGCGCCGTTTATTGTTTTGCGTATTTTTAAAAATGATTATTGAGTTCTTTCTGTCTACTACTTCAGCTGTACAGGCAGCTCAGGGGTAGTTTATTCTTTTGCTTTTTTTGTTGTTTCCCTTGCCCCTGCATTTCAGAATATGTGGAATTTGGGGTTCTGGAGGAATTTCAATGAGGCATTTGGCTATAATCCGCTATTGTGGTTTTTGCCTATCGGTGAGTTGAGGTGTATAGACAGCTAAAGGGTGTACAGACACTTCAGTGATGCTCAGAAAGCTGAGGTGTATAGACAGCTCAGCGCAGTTTATTTATTACTGAATGCGTTATAGACTGGTAAACGCCCTAGAAAGGCCTGACAGTGCAGTTTATAGCAGACTCCGCAGGTGTATGGACAGCTCAGTGGTGTTTAAGCAGGCAGCTGAAATGTATATACAACTGAGGTGCATATGTAGAGTACAGCTATATATATATATATATATACATGAGGTGTATATACAGCTCTGCAGTGGATAGACAGCCTGGCGCGTGGCGCTGTTAGGATAGGTGTATCAGCGGTGTATTGCTGATTAAGATTTTATTTTCTTTAATTGTATTGTTTTTATTTGTTTGTTTTTGTTTTTGTTCTTATTGTTCAGATAATCGTAGAGGAGACGGGCAGCACTTTCCTTTAGGTGTGTCTGCCTCTGGTGATGAGTAATGTTTGTTTGCTTGTTTTTTTCTTCATTATGCTTGTCTTTCTTCTTTCAATCCATAGCGTTTGTTTGTTTATTTATTTGCTCTTGGGAAGTTATTCTGAGTGTTTTTTCCTTCTTCACTTTTCTTCTCCCTTTAAATACCCTTTCTTTTCTGCTGCTGCTTCCCTCCGCTTCGTGCGGTGTATTATATCAAGCAGCAGCAGCAGCTGCTGCCGAAGCAGCTGCAGCAGCAGTAGTGCAAGGAGTTGAAGCACTGCTGCTGCTGCGAGTATAGAAACACAACTCAGTGCGAAACAAAGAAAAAAATATTGGAGACCCAGACGAGATTGCAGTAAAATTTATATATAATACGCATGATGTGTTTGCCTTCTTATGTAATACATTTTATAGAGAATATCTTATTTAGCATCATATAATAAATGCTTTTATTGTATAATGAATATATTGTTTAACAGGTGGAGCTCGGTAGAGGAGAGTAAACTGTGCTCCACATATAGTATTTATTATGTATTCGTTTAATTGCATAATATGCATTACAGTTTATATATTTAAGGGTTAGAGATAAATGCCTATAGATACAAATGCTCATAGATTAGGGTTTATATTAAAGGGTTTGTACTGAAAGCTGAGATAAGAAATAACAGAAAACAGAAAAAATGCAACAATCAATTAGTAAAGAGCCAGTGTAGAGTGAAAGGCAATGAGGCAAATAATAGAAAATACTCTAGCGAGGGTCTATATTGTATTCTCAACATACAACATTATATATATATATATATATATATATAAACATAAAATATTATGTATAGCGACTAGCGGCGCGTGCCTGCTGCTTAGCAGAAGTAAAACTCGGTATATTGAACATAAAGACAGCTGAGGGAGACGGAAAATGGGGAAGAAACAAAAAGAAGAAACAGGAAGGAAATAAATAATCATCAGACGCACAGATGACTGACTCCTGCCGAAACGGTCCCAGCTAATGCATATTTACACTGTCAAGACAGCTGGAGAGATTTATTTATAGCTGAAGAATATATGATGAATTCAACTTCAAATTATTTCACCTTTTTATTTCCACCATATCGCTGAACTCCGAGCACAGCGGCGATCGTGAGGGAGAATTGGGGAGGCGTCAACAGTAAAACTCAAAACAACAAAATTTTAAGAGAAAAAAATAAAAAACAGAGAAAATAACTTAAATGTACTGAAGAAGAAAATGCATGCAACAGGCATTGCTTTCAATGTACAAGCTCTTGGTCAGACTCCCCGAATGCAGAATACGATTAGATTTGAATGTCTTCTGCCATTTTATACAGGTTTTAATGAAATAATTTAATTTAATTATATATTTTTCTAATTTATTCGAAGAATAATATGAAAATTTACCTTCATTTTGCCCTGGTTTCCCCAGTGGTTCTGTCGCCGCTGTTCCGTTGGTCGGGTGTACGTACACCTGCTGTGAAATGCGGCGCGTCCTGAAGCTGGAAACGCTCTTAAAAAGCGGAAATTTTTTGTGGAAAATATTCAGTTTAATTTTCCAAAGAAGAGGCCTTCTAAGCCTTGCTGAAATTACCTAGTTTCTCAGCCCCGCGAGACTGTCTTTACCGCGTTTATTCTGCTTCTCGTCGGTTGGGGGCGGCACAGGTTGTGTTTATGTGTTCAGCTTTGTTGCTTCTTTTGTCTTCGTCAAGGCCTTTTGTACAGGTATTTTTGATGTATTCCTCAACGTAGGAAAACCGTAAAAGGGAAACTTTGCAGGCGCTGATCTCAGGTGTATTTACACCGCCCGAATTCAACTGTCTCGGCGAGCTGCAGTCAGCCGTTTGAGTATTAATTCAGTCATTTATTTGCGTCTCGTTTCTCCTTTCCGTTTTTTTGTTGAATTTTCAACAGTTTCCGTCATCTTTGTCGCTAGCGCCGCAGTTTCGTTGGCGTTTCTCTTTCCGTTTTTGTTGCAAGTCTGCGAGGCGAGTCTCCTATAGCTGCCCTTTAGAAAGCTGTATTATCCTCTTGGATTTCTGTTTATTTATTGCTTTCTTTCCCTCTTCTTTCCTGTCTCTTCAAAGGCGTTCAATAAACTTGCCTCTTCTTCCACAACGCTTCTCCGCGCCCCAGGAGCAGCAGCAGCTACAGCAGATTTGTTAAGTTTGTTTGTCTGTCTGCTGCGGCATCTGCTAGGCCTGGCTCGTGTTGAGTTAGTGTGTGTAGGCGTTTCTCTTTTCCGTTATTTTTTATTCTTTGTATTTCCGCGGCTGCTTGAGCTGCTGCTTTAGAAGCAGCAGTAGCAGCAGCAGCAGCAGCAGCGGCAGCGGCAGCTGCTGCTGCTACATTGTCAAATGGGTATTCAGGTAGTTCTCTATAACAAAGATATCGAGGAAACTTTCTTTCAAGAGAATGGGACAAAACGAATCTGCTTTGGTGAGAGTCGATCATGCTCGCTCCGCACGGCCTCGGGGTATCACATGCATAGCAGAAGCAGCAGCATCGCAGCAGCGGCTGCTGCATATTCCTTTATTGTGCGGGGCTGTAACATGCGTAGACTTCAGCACTTTACTAGGAGAAGGCAGCTATGGAGCTGTATATGCAGGGTCTGTTGATAGAAGCACCTGCAGATACACCGCAGAAAATACTAACTCAACTCTACTCTCGCTCTCCGTGGGGTGTACAGACACCTCAAGTACTGGAACAGACAGCAGAAAAACAAGCGCTGGGTCTTCAAGACAAGGCTGTCAGTACTGCTTCTTTGATAGAACGAGACAAGTAGCAGTTAAGTCTCTGCGTCATTCTTCTCTGAAGCAGCAGCAATTTTTTCTTAATAGATTTAAATTTCTGCAGCTTATACGCTTGCAGCAACTGATCGCTGGCAGCAGTTTAGAGACAGATACGGAGCAATCAAATGCTTCAGGTGTATATACACTTCAAAACAAACCCCACAACAATATGCATTTCCCTCCCGATGTCTTGGCGATGCTCTCCGCTACGGTGCACCTACACTGCAAAGACGCAGCAGCAGCAAAGACAGCAGCAGCAACACCAAAGACACCAGCAGCAGCAGCAGCAGCAGCAGCAGCAGGACAGCACCACCAGGCAACGCCCGCTGGAGCATCAACAGCAGCAGGATCTGCAGCAGGAGCAGCAGCAGGAGGAGGAGGAGGAGCCGCAGCAGAGACTGAAGAGCATAGGGGTCATGCATGCAGCTGCTGTCGTTTCTTACAGTTTCCTAGTTTTGATTCTCTGCATTTGCTGCAGGTATTTGGGGTGTATGCATGCAGTCGGGTGTCTCGAGAGTTTTTGCTCATGGAACGACTCTCAGGACCGACTTTATTTGAATATTTATGCAGCAAATACAGTCAAGTGCTGCCTAAGGAGTGGGAAGCCTGTCAAATTATTGTTCCTATACTTAAAGGCCTCTGCTGCATACACCAGGAAGGAGTATGTTCTTACTCCTGCTGCTGCTGCTGCTGTTGCTGCTGCTGCTGTTGCTGTTGTTGCTGCTCTTGCACTGCGGTTGCTGCTGTTGTTGCTGCTGCTGATGGTGATGATGATGATAATGATGTGTTCTGTTGTCTTTTGCTGCTGTTGCTGTTGTTGTTTGCTGTTGCTGCTGCTCTGGCGTTGCGTGTATTTTTCTTTATTGTTGCTGCTGACTTAATTATTTAATTTAATTAAATTAATTAATTAATTAATTAATTATTTGTTTATTTGTGCAGTTTATTCACGGAGATGTGAAGCTAGAGAATATCATGTTTCGGTCTTCTGCTCCTCACCCCTCTACATTAACGCTTGTAGACCTCGATGGGCTTACTCCTTTACCTTGTGCAGCAGCAAAAGCTGCAAAGGCTTACTCTATTGCTGCTGCTGCTGCTGCTGCTGCCCAGCAACAGCAGCAGCAGCTGCAGCAGCAGCAGCAGCAACAGCAGCAGGGGCAAGGGACGCAGGCAGCAGCAGCAGCAGCAGCAGCAGCATGTACAAGCTCGTTAACCTCTTTATTGAATACAGAAGGAGGGGCTTTAGAGGGCCTCTGCTGCACTCCTCAGTACTTACCTGCTGAAGTTGTGCGCGAGCGAAGACTGTCTCCGTTTGCTGATCTGCATGCAGTCGGGTGTATCTGCTACTTGCTTATGGAAGGCTGCTTCCCTCATGAAAGAGTTAATCTTAAAAGGTATATTTAAATACAATACACACAAACATCGGCACCACCAGCAGCACCAGTAGCAGCAGCAGCAGTAGCAGCAGTAGCAGCAGTAGCAGCAGCAGCAGCAGTAGCAGTAGCAGTAGCAGTAGCAGTAGCAACGCATGTCGCTTCCGCGTTCTAATGAATCATGTTGTTTCTGCTGCTGTTTGTGCTGCTTCTGTTGCTGCTTTTGCTGCTGCTGCTGCTTTTGCTGCTGTTTGTGCTTTTGCTGCTGCTGCTGCTTCTGTTTTTGCTGCTGCTGCTGTTGTTGTTTTTGCTGCTGCTGCTGCAGCCAGGGTATAATGAGCAGCGGGCAGCTCTGCCAGAAGTTAGCAAAAGATGTGCGATATCCCCGCCTTAAGCAGAAGTACTCAACTCTTTGTGAGAACTTTATGCGTAAGCTCCTCAGCAGCGAAGCAAAATATAGATTTGCTACAGCAGCAGACGCGCTGCAGCACCCTTGGATTGAGTATGCCTTAGGTCTTCAGTCAGAAGAAGATAAAAATAAAGAAAGACAGCTGCTGCAGCAAGTGCTGCGATCTGCAGAACAAGCAGCAGAAGAAGCACTCCTTGCTGCACATAGAGCAGAGTTAGCAGCAAAAGAGCAGGCAGAAGCGGAAGCAGCAGCAGCAGCAGCTGCTGCTGCTGCTGCACATGCTGCTGCCCTTGAAGCCGCTGCTGCACACCGAGCTGCACAGGAAGCAGCAGCAGCAGCTGCTGCAGCAGCCAAGAAAGCGCAGGCGGAGCAGAAGGCGCAGCAAGCAGCAGCAGCAGCAACAGCAGCAAAGGTAGAGAAAACAAAAGCTGAAGAAGCAGCAGAACAAGCAGCAGCAGCAGTAGTTGCGTTGGTTGAGTGCTGCGCCGGTAGCCCCTTAGCAGAAACAGAAGCAAGCAGCAACCATCTGCAGCTGCAGCAGCTGCAGCAGCAGCAGCAGCAGCAGCAGCAAACTCCGAGATCTGTCTCTTACAGCACAGAGAGAGAAGCAGCAGCTCTGCACGCAGCGGAAACCCCTGCAGGGCAGCAGCAGCATCTGCTGCTGAAGACAAATCCTGCTGCTGCTGCTGCTGCTGGAAGCAACGCGCAGCAGCAGCGCCTCAGCGTTCCACCCATTCAAATCCCAGGTGTACATACACCCGTAATAACGAGAGAAGATTCTTTCTATAGAGGTGCAGCGCGGTTTGTTGCTGCTGCTCGCTCTCCACGCACACCCAGAAGGCACCGCAGAGAAGCAGCGGCAGCAGCAGCAGCAACAGCAGCAGCAGCAGCTGCTGCTGCTGCAGCTGCAGCAGCAACAGGACGCAAGACGGAGGCGCAGCAGCAGGACTCCTCAGCAACAGCAGAAGCAGCAGCAACAGCAGCAGCAGCAGCAGCAGCGGATAGAGCAGCAGAAACAGCAGAAACTGCAGCAGACTCTAATAGATCTTCTGCTTACTCCTCAGCCTTCGTATTAATGAATGAACAGCACAGGGCGTTTGCAAAGGGCGGCGCAGTTGCTGCAGCAGCAAAACCTTCTGTCACGGGAGCCTCTAAGAGCCTATTCGCCCAGCAGCAGCAGCAGCAGCAGCAGCAAGTACTGCAGCAGCAGCAGCAGCAGCAACAGCGACGCGTGCAAGATCAACACCAGCTGCTGGAGCAGCAACAGCAACATCAGAAGCAGCAGCAGCAGCAACAACAACAACCAAAGCAACATAAACCCGTTCAAGGTGCTACTTTCCTAAGGGGCCCTGACTCAGCAGCAGCAGCACACAGCAGCAGCAGCAGCAACGCCCGCATGCACTCTGCTGCTGCTGCTGCTGTTCATTTTCCCGCAACGCGGCTGCAAGCATTACCTCATAGACAAAACATCGGCAGCAGCAGCAGCAGCAGCAAAGCCCAGCAGCACGAGCAGCAGCAGAGGGTCCTCACAGATGCACCGGCCATAGAAGTCAACGGATTTCCTCTTGAGAATCACCAGACGCAGCAGCAGCAGCAGCAGCAGCAGCAACAGCAGCAGCAGCAGCAGCAGCAGGAGGAAGAGCAGCAGCAAGTTGAAGGTGTGCCGGGGTGGCTGGAGGGCCTCGTCGGTTTGCTGGGGGCTGTGGGGCCCCACACTCCCCGTGACGATGCACGGTTTGGTTAGAGCAGCAAAATAAAACAAAAAGAAACAATTGCATATCTTATTCATCAAAGAAGCAGCAGCAGCAACAGCAGCAGCAACAGCAGCAGCAACAGCAGCAGCGACAACAGGATCCGAAGGACAAGCAGCACCAGCACCAGCACCAGCAGCAGCAGCAGCAATAAATATACAACGCCCGCTCTGTGCTCTGCAGACAGGTGTCAGTAGCTGCTGCTGCTGCTGCTGCTGCTGCTGTTGCTGCTGCTGCATAGCTGTCGCACCTTTCCGCTTTGTTTGTTTGTTTGTTTGTTTGTTTGTTTATTTGTTTATTTGTTTGTTTGTTTGTTTGTTTATTTGTTTATTTGTTTATTTGTTTGTGTTTTTCTGCTGGGGCTACTCATACCTCTGAAAAATAAAGAGAGAAATAAATAAATAAATAAAATAACGAAGATAAATAAATAAAATAAATAAATAATAAAATAAACAAATAAAATAAATAAATAAATAAATAAAAGATTTATTTCCTTCTCTTTTTTTGCTGTCTTTCTTCTTATCTCAGTGAAAGACAGCCACAGAGGTAGATGAGATAAATTAGGGTTTAGGGTTTAGGGTTTACGTAGAGCAGCAAGCTGGTAGCATTCGTTTGTATCCATCAATTGCTGCTTTTCTCTCTCCCTTTCCTCAGGTGTATGCACACCTTTATGCATTTACTTTGTTATTTAAAGCAGACTATAAAATTTATCCTAATAGTACGCCAGACACCACAACAAACTCTATCTATACACCTCTCTTCTCCGTTGCTGCTGCTGCAGCAGCAGCAGCACAGATAGATGCTTGCTGCAGCAGCAACAGCAGATGTTGATTGCTGCAGCAGCAGCAGCAGGAGATGCTTGTTGCAGCAGCAGCAGCAGCAGGAGTTGGTTGCTGGGGCAGCAGCAGCAGCACCTCTGAAGGCAGCAGCTGTTTGTTTTGCTCCTAGCATTTGTATAGACAGCCCTAAAGACATTTTCTCGATTTGTTTGCCTGCAGCGTTTTACTATTAACCAGTTGTCTTCTGTAGGTGTTTATTTATATAGTTAAAGCCTCAAGACAGGGTGCTGATAGAAGAAGTAATTCAGTTATTTATTGTTGTGATAAACTGACTAAGTAAACAGCACCACTGTAGCTGCCTAACGAACTAACGGGGTGTCTGTACACCTCAAACGAGCATATCTAATCTGTGCTGCTGCTGCAGCTGCTGCTTCTGCTGCAGCAACAGTAGCAGCAACTGCAGCAGCAGCAGACAAAATGTTTTTGCTATTGCTGCTGCTTTCTGTTTATATTATGCATCTCCTTGAAGTAATTAACAGATGTGCTGCTCTTTAAGAAGCAGAAGACGAGTTTTCGTCTTCACTTGGGAGTATTGCTAGTAGCAATAGGGAAAGATAAGAGAGGAATAAAGACAAATAAAGCAAAATAAAGCAGCGAAACATTTGTAATAGATATAGAAGAATAAATAAACAAAGCTATTAATATATTTTTCGCTTAGTTTTCTACAGATTATACAGCTGAAAAGGAGAGCGACTGCAGCAGCTGCTGCTGCAGCTGTAGCTGCAGTATTGTACACGGGGCCCCCCCGTTGTTTTTCGTGAGTATTTGTAAATAATTATTAATTAAATATATATTTTATTTTATTTTTCTCTCTTTTACCTTCATAGAATTCATAAAAGCGCTAATAAAGAGGTTTCTGAGGCGTTCTTACCTCCGCTGGCGGAGCCGCGGGCGGGCGGCGCCCTAGTGTTTTTTCTCTTGTATTTTTCTGTTTTTTTTGTGAACAAATTGATAAGTATTAATTTTTATAGTGAAAAATGGGTATATTTGATGAAAGAACGGAAGAAAAGGCATAAGAAGAGGCCTCAATGTATATATACATATATATATATATCTGCAGCAGGTTATTGTGATATTAGATGTATGAATATTTTCTGTTTTTACACGCCTATACACCTGATTGTTTATTTATTTCTTTTTGTTTGTTTTTCTTCTTTTTATATGCACGGATTGATATTTCTTTCTGATTTCTTTTCTTGTCGGTTTCCGCTTATATTACACCCTCATCAACGCCTCTTGAGCTTCTTTCTTTGTCTTTATATTACTTTATTGTCTTCAGCGACGAACAAACAAAAAATACAAATAAAATATTATTTATCTGCTCTTGTCTTCTTTAGATTTAATGCAGCTTTCTTCTCGAGTCGGAGCCTCAAACGCCCAAACAAACAAAACTAAAAATAAAAAACAAAACAAAACAACATCAAAACAAACAACAAAAAAGAAAATACAAAAAGATAAAAATAAAAAAAAGAGTAAAAATATCAAAACAAACAAACAAACAAACAAACAAGTAATTCTCTGATTAATAAAAATAATAATAATAATAATAATAATAATAATAATAATAATAATAATAATAATATATAATAATAGCATATACTAACATATACAAAATAAATATAATAATATATAATAAGTAAAAATGCTACAAAAGGCAGACTTGTCGCGTTCTTCTCACGAAGTTTATACAAATAATGCTGAAGACGATGACTTCTACGACGTTTTAGCACTCTCTTCTGCCGGCCGTTGCGCAACTATGTGTTTATTTGGCTGTATATCTATTCTGTAAGTACTTTATTATTTAATTATTTAATTAATTAATTAATTAATTAATTAATTAATTAACTTGTTTATTTGTTTGTTTATTTGTTTGTTTGTTGTGTGTTTATTTGGCTGTATATCTATCTTGTAAGTACTTTATTATTTAATTAATTAATTAATTAATTAATTAGCTTCTTTGTTTGTTTGTTTGCTTATTTATATGTTTGCTTACTTGTGTATGTTTATTATTTCTGTTTATGTATTTATGTTTATTTATTTGTTTTTATTTATTTATTTATTTATGTTTATATCTCTTTGTTTATTTTTATTTATGTTTGTTTATTTGCTTCTTTTTCTTTCTGCTTCTTTATGTTTATTTCTTGCTCTTTGTTTATTTTTGTTTATTTATGTTTATTTCTTACTCTCTATTTATTTACGTCTATTTTTTTGTGTTTGTCTATTTATGTTAATTTATTTTTGTTTATTTATCTGTTTATTATTTATTTTTATTTATTTTTGTTTATTTATTTTTATTTCTCTTTCTCTTCTTGGGTGTTTATTTTTTTTGTTTTGTTTGTTTTCTTTCTTTTAACTTCAGACATCTGTGCACGCATTATTCATCATCGCTGCTGCTGCTGCTATTTTCGCTGCTTTTGTTGCTGCTGCTGCTATTTTTTCTGCTTTTGTTGCTGCTGCTGCTCCTACTTTTGCTGCTGCTGCTGCTGTTCCTGTTGTGTTTGATATTCTGCTTGTACTGCTTTAGTTGTTGCTGTTATTTTTGCTGCTATTTATTTATTTCTGTTATATATCCGTTGCTGCAGCTGCTACTGCTGCTGCTGTTGCTGCTGTTGCTGCTGTTGCTGCTGTTGCTGCTTGTTTGATGGTTAAAACTTGTTTTTTTTTCTGTGTTTGTTTGTTTGTTTGTTTGTAGGGGTTTTCGTTCGTCTGTTGTGCGACGTTTGTCTTTTTATCCTCCGTTTCCTGCTGGTTATTCGCTTCAAGGCTCTGAGCTGTATATACAGGAAGCAGCCCCAAGTGGATGCATGCGTCAGGGGTTTAATAATGAAGCAGCAAATAAACAGCAGCAGCACCAGCAGCTAAAGCAAAGACTTCCTCCTCAAGAAGGGCAAGAAAGTATACAGCAGCTTCTTCTTAGAAATAACTTACCTGAAAAAGTTGTTGTATATCGAATTCCTAAAGGCAGAAATAAATATCTTGCTGCTGTTTTGCTGCTAGCACCACCACCGCCCCCTGCTGCTGCTGCTGCTGCTGCTGCAGGAGCAGCTGCAGGAGCAGCAGCAGGAACAGCAGCAGCAACAGCAGCAGCAACAGCAACAACAGAAGCAGGAGCAGCAGCAGCAACAACAACAACAGCAGGAACTGCAGCAGGAGCTGCAGCAGGAACAGCAGCAGCAGCAGCAGCAGCAGCAGAAAGCAATGAAACAGAAGCAGATACTGTTGAAAAAAGACTCAGCAGCAGACAGCTAATTATTTTTTCTCATGGAAACAGCACTGATATAGGGCATATGTTCGGCCTACACTACAGAATGTGCTTCAGGTAAACCCTAAACCCTAAACCCTAAACCCTTATTTTGGGTTTAGGGTTTACTCGCGACTTCTATTAGGCGTTTTTGCTGCATTCACACACACTCGCGTGCTGCACCGACAAACATAAATAAATAAAATGAATAAATAAATTATCTATATTATGTATATAAAATAAAGGCAAAGTATATATAAGATAAGCATTAAATAGGAAATCAGCTGTGCGTATTTTGTTTAAAAACAAGCAAATGCTGCTTTGTTTGTTTTTATACTTTAATTTATTTTTGTCTGCACCTTCTTCTCTTTTTGTATATTTTTATCTTCTTTCGTCGTCTTTGTTTGTTTCATATTTATATTTTTTGTTTTATTTGTTTTCTATTTGTTTGTTTAAATGCATCAATTTATATTTTATTTGTTTACTTTATGCTGAACATACTCTTATATATTATATTTATTAATTTTTAATAAACTCTCCTTCATTATATTAATGTATACTTATTAGAATACTATATATATTATTTATTAATTAATTTAATTTATAACAAACTTTGATTGAATATATTTATTTGTTTAATATTCTCTCTCTAAGATATCGAGGCAATATATATAATCTTTCTGACTACTTCACAGAATCTCTGCCTAATAATATATATATATATATAAATATAAATAAATAAATAAATAAATAAATAAAAATATATATATTTATGTTTATTTGTTGAGGTGCTGCTCGCCAGATGTCAAGCAAATATATTAGCATATGATTACTCCGGCTACGGCTGGAGCGACGGTGAAGCGACAGAAAATGCGGTGTACGCGGACATTAGGAAGGTTGTTTATTTTGCTGTGCATTCGCTGCACGTTCCTCTTCATAGAATCATCCTAGTACGCCTAACCCTAACAAACCCTAACAAACCCTAACAAACCCTAACAAACCCTAACAAACCCTAAACCCTAATAAACCCTAAATGCTAAGAGACCCTAAATCCTAGGAAACCCGAAACCCTAATAAACCCTAAACCCGTAGATACCATACACCCTAGAAAACCCTAAACCCTAAATGCTAAGAGACCCTAAACCCCTTGGAAACCCTAAACCCTAAACCCTTGGAAACCCTAAACCCTAAACCCTTATACTAACGCTGAAGTCACACTGCACAGTATATGGATCTATATATATATATATATATATATATATCCATGAATATATATATATATATCCATGAATATATATATATATATATATGGTGCAGCAGATTTGCTGCTGTTTGTTTGCATCAATATTTTCTGCGTTTGTCTGTCGATCGATGTTTGGGTGTCTCTGCATTTGATGAATATTTTAAATTTCTTTTGCGCATTTATTAACACAGCTCTCTCCGTCTATATCCATCGAACCCATTGGCTGCTG